TTCCCTTGTCCTGCTAAGTATACAAGCTCTGTAGCAAATTTTAAAAAGCAAAAAAAATAAAAAAAAGAAAAGAATGCAGCAAAGAATTAAATAGAAACCCAAGGGTAATAGCATTTCCAATGGGTGCAGAGGTTCCTGAATTTCTGCAGTATAACCGAAAACCTGCTATCAGACCTCAGTTTATCGGCAATGCAACGACAGCTGCGGTAAGTCTCAAGGTGACAAGAGAATGGCTTCAATAAACTGCACAGGAAACCTCAAGTAAAATGCGATGTCAGTAGAAGCAATGATTTGTTTTGTTACAGAGAACTGTAATTAGTTAATTACACCATCATTTTTTCACTTGCCCATGTTTTATTTCCTCTTCCAAGTTACACTAGACTTTAAGAGAACCTAAGACAGGTATTGAAAATTTTGTTTCATACCAGTATTTCTGTATTTTTAATTTTCTTTAGGGTTTTGTCATGGGGCATATATGCTTATCAGACAGACAGACAGAGAGAAAGAGAAATCATCCCCCTCCCCCCCCATAGGATGGCCATACTACAATCCCTTCTTCATCCTCCTCCTGGGATTCTGGACATGCACACACACACCCCAGTGTGATTTTTCAAGCCATTGGGTCTGGAACTCAAACTCTGGTCGACCATGTAGGAGTTCCGCACCTTTACTACTATGCCACCTGCTGGCCTCTGTATCAGTATTTAAATAATAAAATCTTTGATCTTTCTAAGAGTAGATGCCTATACATTTTGCACTTTTTTAAAAGAAGTTTATTTGTAGAGGTAAAGAAAGGCGAGGGAGGGGAGTGTGAAGAAAGAGAAATACTCTCAACAGAGTTTCACATTGTAATCCCTCTGACAATCTGGGCAAGTCGATCCAGGAGTCCAAACCTGATCTTCCACATGGATTCAACAGCCAGGGCTGCATGCTACAGCTGTGTTACCACAGCAGGCTCATATTTAACTCAAGTTTTTGTTTTCTTTTAAATTAAGGTTTTTGCCATAGGATGCTTGCACTCAGCAGAGATATAGAGTCAGTGAATGGGAAAGTGAGAAATCACTCCCAGGTGGATGGCCATACCATAATCCCTTCTCCCCCTGGGATTTTGGGCATACATGCACACATGCCTGGCATGATTCTCAAGCCACCAGGTCTGGGCCTCAAGTCATAGCCAGCCATGTGGGAGTCTAGAGCCTTAGCCTCCATGCCAAATGCTGGCCTTACTCAACATTTTTTAAAGAGGTTTTTTGCCTATAGCCAGTCATGTGGGAGTCTAGAGCCTTAGCCTCCATGCCAAATGCTGGCCTTACTCAACATTTTTTAAAGAGGTTTTTTGCCTTAGGGCACATGTGCTCACGGGAGAGAGACAGAGAGAGAGACAGTGAGAGGGTAAGTAAGAAATCACTCCTCGGGGGAATGGCCACACTGCAATCCCTTCTCCTCCACTTTCCTCTTGGGATCTTGGACACACACACACACACACACACACACACACACACACACC